GTATTTATTTTCATCCGTGTACTTTTTATTGTTATAACTGGCGATATCATCGAAGTGAGTCTCCAACAGTTCCTTGTTCTCCTAACTTTTTGACACATTAAAAGCCCCTTTATTTGGTTCAATAAATGGTTCAAAAATAAAATTGATCATACAATGTCTCCTACATCAGCTGTGGAACTGTTTGGACAGAGGCTCTCGAGATATTGCACTATTGCGTTTATCGATGCGAATCTGTGAGGTCATGGATTAATACGCGTCAAGCCATTTTTATTATGGATATATTTATCTACTAAAGATGATCCGAAAGTGGATCGAAACGTCTGGATGTAAGAAAAACCAAAATACAGATAGAATTCAACGGATAATCATTTGCGCCTCATTTATTGCGCTTGACTTCTAACGCCCTTATTGTCATTTTTATTTTTAATTTCTAATTAAAGGACTATTATATCTTATACCTTATACCTTATACTTTAATCTTTATGTTTATATATATTTCGCTGCTTTTTCTTGTATCTAATACATATTTTTTAGTCGTCTGGATAGGCGCCCGAATCGATGAAGTCTCTTATGCACATCAGTGCCTTGTCGGGTAAAAGTCTAGAGTAGAAATTATATTTTCATTATAGATGTAGAAGTAATAACTGTAGTGCATAATATTCGTATTGTCTTTATATAACATTTGCGTTATTAATATGTATCTGCACTAAATTGTTTTGTGACTGTTTGATATAATTGAAAATATAATATAATATAATGATAAAGGCTACGGTCAATGTAACACTACAAATGCTTCGAAGCATTTGATTGTCCAATCAAAACAAAGAAAATTTTGCTAATGCACCAATCAAAAAATGCTTCAGAGCATTTGCAAGTCCTTGACCGTACCCAAAATTATTATTTATATGATTTACGTATGTACCTTAGCATCTGACATAAGGGCAGCCAACGTGAAGGTATGCTTTTATTTGCGTAATTTCGTCTTTGTGCATCAATTATCAATGCAGCCGCTTCGCACGCTGAAAATCCACCCATAATCAATGGAAATCTGTATAGATAAATGAAGTTGAATCACTTGCTGTTAATAATTGTGTAATTAATATTATAAATAATATTAATATTAATATAAATGATTAATTAATTGAATTATACTAATAAATATTAATAAATATTAATAAAGATAATATTAATAAAGATAATATTAATAAAGAGAGAAATATTAATAAAGATAATAAATATTAATAAAGATTTGTGTGACAATTGAAAGAAGTTATTAAATTAAATTAAATTTGATTTTACCGATTAGAGCAAAATTATAAAAATAATGAATACGGCGCGCGCAATATAATATATTGTATTGTAAAATATTTAGTACACTGTATCGCTATAAATTTACCTAATTTTTGGTTTTTTAAGAAGACCAGTAAGCACTAAAGTTGGATAAACGGTAGTGAATTTAATGGAAGATTTTCCATTGCTTAACACACGTAATTCCTCAAAGGTAGCTTCCATAAGTGCTATATTACATTAAAAAAAAATCGTAATAAATTGTAATTATATCTACATTTTTCTATCATTACGTATATATTATTAAAATTATGTGTTCTATTACATACATGCGCGCGCATATATGTAATACTCAAAAATAAATTGTTTATGAGATATTTTGTATTTTATGTTAATATACGTCACAATAAAGTATCTCGTAAATTATTGATATATAATTTTTTTGATATTTTTTTCTTAATGCTTTTAGAGAATTGCATGAGAATTAGAGTTATTTATCATATTATCATATTATGTAAAAAGATCATCAATTTCGTTTGAATAAATAATAAAGATCTTAAAGATCTGGAAAAGATTAATTTGCAAATTTTGTCTGAAACGTTTTGCGTAGTAGACTCGATTGTCGAGACATCTGGCTAGACAGTCTAAAATAAGACATTTTACATGTATATACATATACATTTAAACAACTTTTTCCTTAACTAATTAATTTCAACTCTCGCACGTATATAATTTATATATTATTTATATAATATTTTACTATTTAGTATTATAATCGTTGAAAATATAAGTTACCTTTAACGGCAAATTTGGAAGGACAGTAAACTGATCCATAAGGAGCACCAATGAGTCCTGCGATTGATGAGAGCGCCACGATATGACCATGATTCTTTTCGATCATGCTTGGTAAGAATGCTTTCAACGTCTGGAAGTAATATATCGTTATCAACAACAATTTGCGAAAACTGAATTGTATGCTTATCCATTTTTGTGAGTACGTTCACAAAAAGGATTTCCTATATATATAATAAGGATAAGACAAAAAAAATATTCTTGCTATATTTAATCTTATCGCTATTATATACAATATAAAGAATGAAACAATTGATATTAAAATTAGATGAATAATTGCTAATTCTCCTTTCTGGAATTAAATAACATTGATTTATTATCAAGAGTAATATAAGAGTAAATAAATTTAAATTTGTACAATATTTCGGTGTTTAGAAAATTTTTGTCCATTATATTATAGTGAATATTGCTAGCGCCTCAGCGCAAAACCCGTATGCAAGCTAATTTTATTTTTAAGTTGAGAAATTTCCATTAAAGATTCAAATATTTTTCTATTCATAGGAGATATGTAATTATCTTTAGATCGATTCTATTTTTTTTTGTGGATAGTTGATATATATTTCAACTATAAATTATTAGCGACAAGTTAAGTCAAATAATTTTGTTTGCAACCCTATTTGATGTCTCGTTGTTTCAACATGTATATTTCAGATATACTACTTGCCCAAAAATGCGCCATCACATTGACGTCTATTACTCGCTTTATTTCATCAAGGCTGTGATTGAGGAACGACTTAACGTATACTATACCGGCATTATTGATCAAGATGGTAACATCACCCACTTCCTTTTTTACTTTCTCTGCTACTCTAAAGACTTCTTTCCTATCCGATACATCGCATCTAAAACGCGAACAAATTTTAGATAAATTTGCATGCGTATAAATTCTGTTCGAGTTGTTTTTTTTTTCCCTTCTATCGATTTTTGTAAAAAATAATTTTAACTTACTGATATGCGTATACAGAGTTTTTTCCCATTTTTTTAATATCATTCATCGTTTTCTTATTGATTTCTTCATTTTGGTCCCAACATACCACTGTTGCTCCTAACGATGCATAGCCAATCGCTAATTCCTTTCCGATACCTTGGCCTGCACCTGTTACCTATAATAATATGTAATATTAAATAATAACAATTTAAATAATAATTATTACAAATTATAATTCGCAGATTTTTACAATTTAATCTTTTGTAATCTTGCAGTTTTCATGCGAATTAAGAAGCAAGTCTGATATTTGTGGATAATTTTATGCTATTAAGTGTAAAACTTAGTTTTCGTCGTTTTTTGCTTGAAAAATGCATTTATTTCAATAAGGACACGAATTGACACATTAATCAATATATTTTCCATTGTTTTCTATTACTTTTGTTTTCTATTACTTTTGTCTATCTTTCTGGCAAAAGTTGGATGCTGCGACGATAAAACGAATTATCTTTTGAAGCAAGTCGTTTATCCACCCATTTTCGGACTTGTTCATAATTGGGGAAATTGTGTATCAGCAAGCGTGTGTTGTATCGATCGAAAAAAATAATAATCCTATGGGACCAAGTCTGGAGAATAAGCCGGGTACGGAGAAGAATTTCCCATTCAAACTCCAACAGTGTTTCTTTCACGGTTCTTGCGGTCGCGCGTTGTCACGCAAAAAAAGAAATTATTTTGCGATTTTGATTACTGGCTTGATGACCCTTTTTTGCATCAATTCATTGTTTAATCGATACAATTGTTGTTGGTAGCCGTCAGCCGACTATTTCATTCGGTTATAGCTCGTAATAAAGCCTTTCTAGTCCCATCAAATATAGAATAGTGCCTTATGATATAAATATTTCATTTTTGATATTGATGTGGATCAAGAATCCATCCATGATTTTTTCCGCTTAGGATTATCGAAATAAATCCATTTTTCATTACTCGTTACAATGTGCTACAAAGAACTTTTTTAAGTTGCAATGCTTGTCACTTATGACAAGAGCAATCTATCAATTAATCACTTATGACAATAACAATCTATAACAATCAATTCAGCGATATGTCTTGTAGGCACACGTGGATTATAATATGCAAACTGTTTGATATTTTAACAATAAAACCGTTTATTTCGTGTAACTTTATTTAATAAAATAAATGAATTGACGCTTATATCTCACAATTTTGATTTCTTAAAATCGACATTATATAATTTTTCGTATAGTTTTTAATTTCTTGCATAATAAGAATTTATTCTCTTGTATATTTTTTTTTACACTTACATTTTCTTACATTCTGTATGCATATTAAGAATTTTGTACGTACCAAAACGATTTCATCAGTCAAACTCTTTTTCTTCGTTGGAACAATCAATCTGAATACACTTTCACCGATATAATATAGAATTTTCAAAAAAAGCAATAATATCTCTACGAGAAGAAGCAAGACATTAGAGGTGTTTATCAAGATTGTCTGAAAAATTAATAAATATTTTAATAGGAATATCTGAGTATATATAGTATAGTAGAGTACATCTGAATATATATCTATATGTACATAAATTTTCTAATCAGGGTTGCAAATAAGCATCTTAAGCGTAATAGGCATTCTGATACAATCATGTTATGTTTACGTAAATCATAGAACAAACAGAACAGAATTATCCAACAAAAAAGTAACTAAATACAAATTTAAAAGTAATTTTATGAAGTAAATTTTATGAAATACAAATTTAAAAGTAATTTTATGAAGTAAATTTTATGAATAATAATAATTTCATGAATATGATGATAATGCTGGAAAATATGATGGTAATACTGCAAAACCTTTTCTAACAACCAGTTCTAACAACCAGTTTGCACGTCTTACGTAATCAATTTTATAGTCCAAAAAATTGTTATAAAAAATTGTTTTTGTAGATTTGTATCAAATTTTCAAGTACTTCAATTAAAGTTTTTCCATATAGTTACATATTTATAATGAAATACTCTTAAATTTGTTGATCAAGTTGACATTACAAAAAAGATAATGTGCATAATATAATATTATAAATATATATTATATATGTCTACACTTAATACTATTGTATTCATCGGCATTTTATTACATTAATTGTGAATTTTAAAGGCGAAATTAATTAATTAACATTAAGTATGAAAATTTGTAATTAATACCATAATGCTTTCAAATATTATCAATATATTACATAAAAGAAATAAAACAACAAGGAGCTGCTAAAAATTTAGTATTTCATTCCCAATTCTTGTGTATTAAAATTGTAAAAAAAAAATTGTAAAATGCTTTGTAGAAAATTTTGTAAAAAGTTTTACAAAATTTGAAGTATTTTGAAAAAATGGAAAGAAAAAAGAAATACTGATCCGGGAAAAAAGTTTATGTCTAATTATATCATATTAGATATAATTATATATAATTATATATGAGATCTATTAATATTACAAATTATATGCAGTTATATAAAATATTTATAATTCCATATAAAATTATATTGAAATTCTTTTCGGATAAAATGTTCAGATTTAATTATATATAATTATATCAAAATATTTATATCCATGTCAAATTATATGAAATTATATTGTGAAATTAATTTTTGTCGGGTAAAAACTTTATATCTGATTATATGTAATTATATCAAAATATTAATAATTCTATGTACAATTATGTAAATTTATATTGAAATTTTTTTCGAAGAAAAAGTTTATATCTGTAGAAATATAGAAGCCATAAGGCTTAAATAGTTGATAGGATTCGGAGATTGTTACAACAGTGAAGTTGTTGTGCAGACTGAGTGTCAGATTCGTAAACAAAGAATCCCGAGTTCGAATCTCCAATCGCTTCGTTAATTTTTCTCCGAGAATATTATTTCCTACATATCTACTCTAATTAGAAATGATTATATCAATACTTACAATTTTAAATTGAATTATACAAAACTATATTTCTTCTTCAAATAGAAAGATATACATTAAATTATATAAAAATTTATACATAATATTATGATGCAAATTAGATATAAATAATAACATCTAAACGAGAGACATTTCCGAGATATTACGAGTTTAGTTGATATTGTAGGATTTATACGTACATACATATATACGAATATATACAATTTATGAACACATAATTTCAATCAAATATAAAGGATAAAGGATCCTTAAAGAAAATTTTAAGTATAATATAAATAATTACACTGGTTTACTTCGTTTATTTTATGAAAAACTTAATATTTTATATATAATATATATAATATTATAAGATTGTTATAAATACAAGTATTATAAATAAATATACTTATAAAAATATATTAGTTTTTCATATTTACCACAAAATGGATCCATTAAAGCTTGATCTAATTG